CTGGCAAAGCGTTAGAAGCCAAGCCAAATGTTGTCATCAGCCTACAATAGAAACAGCAGCTGGAATCTGATTGGTTGCTATGGGCAGAAAAAGGTCTTTCCTTCCAAATGATTTTATTATACATGCCACCCAGGATGCTTCAGACTCACGTGAGCAGGTCTTCTTGTCCGGGTTGAGAGAGTATCCATCGCGACACTTGCACTGATAGGAGGTAGCAGTGGCCACACAGATCTGCTCACAGTCGTGTCTTCCCAGGGCACACACATCAATGCCTTGTAAAAAGATGCACAGTCAACATTGGTGTATATCATTGCACGCATTGCTTAAAGGGAATGTAAAGTTTCTAGTTATAGTAACGTAGTAACATAGTAGGTAAGGTTGAATAAAGACAAGGGTCCATCCAGTTCAACCTATACAGTGTGTATGCGTGTGTGATTGTGTGTCTGTATTTATTTGACTCTAAGACCCCGTTCACATTGAGCGATTTATCGCGCGGTAATTCCCGCGATATCGCAGCAAATTACCGCGCGATATCGCGCTCCAATGCAATCCAATGGGGCAAAGGGTCCTGCTGTCGCGGGTCGTGTGTCGCTACAGCAGGACCCTTTTTGGAGCGGATTTAGCCGCGATTCAAGCTTGCTCAATGCAAGCTTGAACGCAATATCGCGCAGCAAATCTCGCGATGTCGCGCAATATGCAAATCGCGCGACAAACGCACGATTTGCATATCGCGCAGTGGGAACAGGGCCTAACACTGCTCAACGCTCTTGGCGTAGACTATCGCCTGTGGAAGGGAATTCCTAAATTTCACAACTCTCACAGTAAAAAAAAAAACCTACAAATTCTGAGATTGAACCCCCTTTCCTCCAACCTCCTGTTGTGTCCCCGTGTTCTCAATATAGTTTTCTTATTGAACAGTTTGTTCCTGATATTGTGATCCATATTGATAATTTTGAAGACTGCAATAAAGTCTCCTCATAAGCGCCTCTTTTCTAAGGTGAATAAGTTTAACTGCTGAAGACGGTCTTCATAACTCATGCCTCTTATCCCTTTAATTAATTAAAGGAGTTCTAGCCGACCGGTGACAATGAGACTGTCAGGGTCGGCTCAGTAGATCGGGAGGTGAGCAAACACATACCGGGTTCGCTCACCTCTCGATCCTGTCACGGCTCTCTGCCGTGACAGGGAAGGGGCTGGATTCGCGCCGATCCTCCAGCGCTGACGGGCGGAACGGAGGGGGGAGGAGCGGTTACAGCTGGCTCTGCCTCTAGATAGGCAGAGCCAGCTGTCACTCGCGCAGCTGGGCGGATCCAGACATAATTGTCGGGATCCGTTTCAGCTGCGGCGTCTCAGTATACCGCGAGCTGTAGCTGGCGGTATACTGAGCTTAGGGTGACGGGAGGACGCTAGTTTGTGTCCTCCCGTTACCCTAAGGAGAACTATGGGGAAAAGCCTTAACCCCATAGTTCTCCTTTAATTTTGTAGCCCTTCGCTGAAATCTCTCCAGCTCGATGTAGTCTTTCCTGAGAGTTGGTGACCAAAACTGCACCGCATACTCAAGATGAGGCCGAACCAGTGATTTATACAGTGGTAGTATTACTTTTTTTATCCCTTGCCGCGATCCCTCTTTTAATGCACGCTTGTATCCAGTTTGCTCTGCTGGCTGCTGCTTGGCATTGCTTTTGATTGCCAAATCTGTGATCTACGAGCACCCCCAGGTCTTTTTCCATGGTCAACTTCCCTAATGTAGCACCCCCCGACTAGTAGTTTGCGCACACATTCTTTGCTCCCATGTGCAAAACCCTACATTTTTCAACATTAAATCACATTTGCCATCTTGTAGCCCAGGCCTCAATTGTTAAGGTTCTGTTGAAGTGCAGTGTCTGCTGTTCGGAAACTACTGCTCTACACAGTTTTGCATCATCTGCAAAAACCGAAATCAAAATTTGTAGTCCAATCTCTATGTCCTGGATGAACAAGATGAACGTGATCGGTCCCAGGATTGAACCCTGAGGCACCTCACTCACAACTTTTGCCCAATTAGAAAATGACCAGTGGCGTAACAATCACCATAGCGACCAAGGCGGTCGCTATGGGGCCCGGGGCACAGTGGGGCCCGGCCAGATGCCGTGCGGGCCGCCTGGGTCGCTATGGGATCTTCTGCTGCTGGCTTTCACTGGCATCTGAATCAATGGGGCAAAGGGTCCTGCTGTCGCGGGTCGTGTGTCGCTACAGCAGGACCCTTTTTGGAGCGGATTTAGCCGCGATTCAAGCTTGCTCAATGCAAGCTTGAACGCAATATCGCGCAGCAAATCTCGCGATGTCGCGCAATATGCAAATCGCGCGACAAACGCACGATTTGCATATCGCGCAGTGGGAACAGGGCCTAACACTGCTCAACGCTCTTGGCGTAGACTATCGCCTGTGGAAGGGAATTCCTAAATTTCACAACTCTCACAGTAAAAAAAAAACCCTACAAATTCTGTGTTTGAA